TTTTCCACTTCTGGATACAATTCAGAAAGTCTAGACTTAGAGAAATGCACCCTGTGTATGACCTTAAATTGAATAAGTCCAAGACGAGCACAGGAGGTGGAAGATCGTACCCTCGCTATAGCCTGTTCCCAAGACTCCTCATGTACTCGAACTCCTAGTTCAACAGGTCAGGTTTTTACAGGAAACAGAGAAATAATTAAACTGTAACTGAATGTAATTAACGTGATGTTGTGTCTAATTTCACGGTAATTTTTCAGAAAAACAATATTGCACCATAAATATGTAAACATACGTGGCTCAGGCCGTATTATAGAGTGGAATAATCTGTCCTTTTTACATAGTTGTTCAAAGTGTAGTATGCTGACGTCCATGATGGACGTTCTTTTATTTTACAGTGTAACTGTGATAACGACTGTTCCTCACTAACTTACAATAAAAAGTAAATCAAATATGCCGGCCTGTGTGATCTCATAATGACTGAGCCGAACTTCTTTCATTATCGCTGTTTAAACATCACTTTCAAAGGAGCGCACAAAACCGAGACGTTAGGACAGATTACGCTGTTCCATAATATGCCCCCCCCACAAAGATTGTCAGAGGGGGAAATATTTTTTGTTTTTCTGCAATCTTTACTAAAAGATTATGTACTACTTGAAAGTACTTATGCGATCCTTCATTTCAGTCTGCAATAAACTTTATCGTGCAGTACACTCATTTTTCCTGATTCGTTACCTCCTTATTCTAGTTTACCTCCATTTAAGTATTTGTATGGAAACATAATCATCTTGTAATTTCAAATAAATGATGGAGATTCCATTCAATGAGTCATAAATCGCTGTTCCCAGTACGATCTGTCTCGACTTCAGTGGGTAAACACTTTCCTCCATTCAGACTCCATCCCTGCGATGATGTGCACTGCACACTGTGTTAAGGTCCACCTTTGTTTTTCAGCGACTTCTAAGAGCCATTGAGTTTAATTAAATTGCATTTAGATATATGAAATAAGCCCTCGAAGTAAATATCATGAGAGGTGTTAGCATATGTGTGCATTTTATTGG